ATTTATTTAATTATTTACTTATGTCTGTATGTATGTAGGTATGCATGCATGTATGTATGTATGTATGTATGTATGTATGTATGTATGTATGTATGTATGTGTGTATGTATGTATGTATGTGTATGTATGTATGTATGTATGAATGCATGTATGTATGTATGTATCTATGTATGTATGTATGTACGCGTCTATGTATGCATGTATGTATGTATGTATGTGCGCATCTATGTATGTATGTATGTATGTACGCATCTATCTATGTATGTATGTATGTATACGTACGTATGTACGTATACATACATACGTACATACGATGCGTACATACGTATACGTATGTACGTATACGTATGTACGCATCTATGTATGTATGTATGTATGTATGTATGAATGTATTTAAAACACACTGTAGGACTTTTGAATACGTCTTCAGTTGTGGGGTCCAAAACCAAAAATATGAACATCAGGAATATATAAAAAAGAAGAGAACATTTAATTGAATTCAAAGAACTTGCACCGTGTGGAACTATTCGTCGCTTCAGCTTCCGTCCAAGCGCAGCCAAAGGCTGAGAACCGGTTTGCAACTTCGAGAAGAGCATTCCTGCGCACCACAAGTAGTCCGCAAAAGTATTTTTTTTCTAAGTAACTGTTTTGTACGTAAACATTGCACAATATTCCAGGTGTGTACTGCTGAGAATGATTTGCGACTGAAGGAATTAAATTTCTAAAGTTTATGTTTTTATTAATAAATGTAAATGCATGTGGTTTGGTGAAAACTCGTACATCTCCTGGCAACACGGCTGCAGCGCTCGGTTTTTCTGTGGGATTTCGTTCCCGTAATGGCCGAATCATGTGCTTCGCTGCTTTCCTCACCGAGTCGCTTCAAAACGTCCTTTCGCATAGGCACGTTTGGGCGTCAGGCGCGAGAGGTCGTGATGAATGTCTACTTTCACATTCGGGAGGAGACTCCGGCCGCCTCGTACCGCGTAGTTGTTAACCGAACCAGGCCACTACAATTCACTGATACGCGGCGAAATCGGGGCACTCCTTTACCTGCCGATCACATTGAACGCCGAGAAGCTGGTGGAAAGGACTGCGCCTCGAGCCCTGGTATATCCGGACAATACGAGAAACATCAATGGCGGGGTCATCGAGCACCTTAGAACGTGTACTTACATTTCGAAACTATGTCGAATAGGTGGAAAGCTCGGACACAAGCGCCAGCGGCCAGCCTACGTACTGACATCCCCTCTGACTAAATTCCAGAACGTGAAACCTGTAGCAGACGATACCGTTGACAGACCCGTTGCAGACGAAATACACACCCTTCGCTACTCGGCTAGCGCGGGCGGCGCGCACGACCAGCGGAGCAGCGGAGTGATACAAAAGTGCAGGCGAGATCGCGTGTGATTGGCTCCGGCTACACGTATAGCTTTGGCTGCGCTCGGACGGAAGCTGGAACGAGTTATAGACACTTAATCTATTTATTTATTTATTTATTTATTGTTATTTTTTCATTACACTACTTTCGAGGGCCCAGGGGATGTTACAGATGACATAAACACAGAAAATATACATACATAATGGTACAAAACAGTCACGAGGTGATTACGTAAAAATAATTAGTAAGAGAAGTTCGAAAATAATTACATAGAATATTGATACTAATAACGTTGAACGGTGTTTCCACTTTGAAGATCCAAATACATTTTTAGGATGCTTCAGGCATTCGCGTCTAGCGTCAAAATCTTTCGGGTTTCTAAGCTGCTTACAGCAATATTATAGATTAGCCTTCCATGTATAGTGCGGGACACTACGCATGTGGTACTTTAGAAATCTTCTGATCTTCGCAAAAACATCTACGCCGAAATATCGCACCTAGTTTTGACGTTATAGAAGAGACAATCCCGTCCGGTACATCATCTTTGTTCGTCCTTGTCTCGCTCCAAGAATCCGGAGTTCCGAATTAAACACGATATTAAGCACGATATATAATGAGTGTTGCAATCATAGGGAGATCAGCTCAACCCTGAACCCACCACAAACATGGCTACGACTGTAGGTTTTACCAACCAAAATGCTCGCCCCGTAAAAAGATGAATAAAACAAACTGCATAATTATTGAGCTGCGGGTGCCGAGTGGAGGGTCGGATGAGCGCTTTATGGTAATGGCGATAATTTTCGAGAAAAGCTGATGAGGTCGCCGAAAACGTTCTCCTTTCCATTTTCCTCTCTCCCCCTGCCCCCTCTTTTACCTCTATCACTCCGTTCAGCGCTAAGCTGACAGTGCTGTGGAAGCGACGTGCTTACTGGACCAGTCACAAGTCTATCTTTCGCCACGTGACAACGGTCCCGCCCCTACCTTCGGGCACAGAGCATGGTCAGGTGATGAAAAGGGAGGCAGATAATTGTTTTGGCGAGCGCCTAGCTCCACCGCTCCTGCTTTCCCCTAAAAATGAAAACCAGAAGGTGCAAACAACTACACGAACCAAAATTGAGTGACGCGAACTGCAGTATTTCCTATATATTTTTGTTCTTTCTTTTCGTCGCTGCGCTGTGTGTGTGTGTGTGGGCTTCGCTTCTCTCGCTGCGCAGGCCGAATGCTAATGTACACGTCAGACCGAAGACCATTGGCCGCTGGGCGTGGCGTACACAGGAGCAGAGCGGAGGCCTTCGGATTTTATCAACGTATCTGGCGTTTGCGTAGACAAAAGTTTGACACAAACCGAAGTTTATTCCGGACCCAAGGTTGACGCTTGCAAAGAAGTGTTTCTACGGCCAATGGCTCGTCGAGTTTTATATTACGGTGGCGATTGCAGCGGCTATCTTTTACGTAGACTAACAGCAAAGAAAAAAGACAAAAAAAAAAAACAAAAAAAACGTCGTTTTTGTTGTTTTTTTGCTCGGTATATATACTTCTAATCAAGCCCATTAGCGAGCCGCTAATGGGCGTAGACGCACTTGTGCGAGCGCCACTAGCCACGGTAACGTTATGAGTTGTCGAGTCAACTTTTAACAATTAGCGATAATTTATGCATTGAGGCCGAGGACGCGTTGCAACTACACACTAAAAGTTTTTACACCCTTAAGGGTGTACATCAGTTTGTCCCAGGGCTAACACCCTTAGGGTGTTCAGGCAAACACCCTTTATAATGGGTGCTCGCCAAACACCCCTGGTAGAGGGTGCTTGCCGTAAAATGGGCGCCCCCTGGGGTGGCCCAGTGGATGCTGGGCCACCCCAGCCAATCCAGTGCCGGGAGAGTATCATGCAACGTTTTGGTTATGTGGAGTTCAAGCTCACATGACACTCTGCCGATGCTGGATTGGCCGGTAGCGTCTGCCGCACTCGGACGAAAGCTGAAATGAAGCATAGGCCCTAGTAAAAATTTTATAGGCATGTGTCCAATACACATATCAGAAATTCTAAATTGTACGAAAATCATATAAAGTATTGGATATTCTTATCATGATTCTCAGCTTATCATGTTTACTAAACACATTTACTTTTTTTCACCTGGGGGGGTATTGCCAAATCACATACAAGGCACATGATAAAGGAAGAACGAGTCACATTGAACGCAACTCACTTCATGAAGTAATACAAAAGAGCTACTTGCAAGCCACATCATAAGCCTGAGGGCAACTGGTAGTGCTTCCGGTGCCGCCCTTTCTCGAACTTCAAGTGAGCAAGCAGTGGCCCCAAGCATCGTACTGCACGGCTAAACCATAGTTATAAACATAATGGGCTTTTACAAATGAAGCATGTGGAGCTTTCCTGTTTGGAGATCAAGTACCAAGTTTTGTCTCAGAGGATTGCAGGAAACACGCTTCACTCATCTCCTTAAGCATATCTATTTACTAATTGGAAGCATGGCGGTCTAGCCCTTGACTGAACCACAGCAGTATTTCAGTAAGTGAAGCTCATTATGACATCAATTAGAATGTGTAAAATTGAACATTTATTGTGCCCTAAAAGACAAACGAAAAAAAAATACAATGTATGCCATTCCTTGACATAAACAATGCTATCTGCCAACATGTAATGAAAAATATCACAGAAATCTCAAGTACAAAGAAAATTATAAAGTTTTGGAAAGTGACTAGGAATGAGGAACCCCCGTACAGATAAATTATACCTCACCTACAGGAGGTCGGCATAAGTTATACATTTAAAGACAGAAAAAGAAAACATGCCTCCATAAAACATTCTATCATTTGTTCTGTAAGCAAAATAAAAATTAACCTGATAATACTGTCGCGAAAAGTGCAATATCCACATAGAGGGTGTTTCACGAAAAGTGGACAAATTCGATATTGCGAAAACTATGGGTCGCAACAAAAAAAAGGCTTGTGTCATTCTGGTCCTGGACGAGGAGCCTAGTTAGGAAAATGATTAAAGTCCGGGATAATTAGATTGTTAATTATTTTTGAGTAACTAACTTTTTAATATTGTGTTTTAGGTTATGGTTTTAATTAGAAAATTGCTCAGCATCATTGAAAAACACTAGATCAACATATTGCACAACAACAGAAGGCGTGCACAGCATTTTACGGCTTTCTGAAAACAGTACAAATTCGACGGGTTTTTAAGTTTCGTTTTGCAATTGGAGCACATCTCGGCCCCGATTGCACCGCGCCCCATGGAGAAATGGCGCAAGCAACCTCTGCTGCGATGTCCTTGCGCAACGCAGCAGAGGCTGGTTGCACCATTTCTCCACGGGGCATGGTGCCGTCGAGGTCGAGATGCGCTCCAATAGCAAACCGAAACTTAAAAACCTATCCCATTTGTGAGGTTTTTCAGAAAGTCGTAAGATGCTGCACGTGCCTTCTATTGTTGTGTAATATGTTGATCTAGTGTTTTTCAATGATGCTGAGCAATTTTCTAATTGAAACCATAACCTAAAACACAATACTAAAAAGTCAGTTACTCAAAAATAATTAACAATCTAATTATCCCGGACTTCAAAAGTTTTCCTAAATAGGCCTCGAGCCCAGGGCCAAAACGACACAAGCCTTCGAGCAGTTTTTGCAATATTGAATTTGTCCACCTTTCGTGAAACACCCTGTATAACCTCCCGAGACCCTGCGTCCACCAGTGTAAACATTGGGTTTTGAATTGTAAGAAGAAGAAAAAAAAAAAAAACAGTCCAAGAGGGTGGCAGAAAATTTCTAGCTGATAGAGGGCCAGCTGCATCAGCATCAGCAACATGGCGGCGGCCTAGGAGCGTTTTTTGGAAAGATGTATAGAAGCACCAATGCTAAGAATTGATCGCAGCTATTATTATAAACGTGCAAAAGAAATGTGCTTACTGATCCAGTTCCTATAACATCTTGGAGCTGAGGGTACTTGTCAGTTAGTAGCTGAGTGACCTTGGAGTAAAAGTGCTGAGATGGGAACCTGCAGAAAAGTCGTGCCCATTCTTATGGCTCAACAATCTCTAATATTATAACCCACATTGTGAATCAATAGGTCCCGTATGCAGACTGAGCCTACGCGAGGAAGATGCAAGGTATTGTTCAGATGGTACACAGTGCATCAATGTTTTAAACATGCCAATGACCCCCAATCGATTATAACTAGTCGCACCAAATTTTCAGATATTAAAAAAAAAAAAGGAATATCTACACATTTTCCGCTTAGCAAATTCTTGTAATATGAATTTCGACAAAGAGACATGTTGTCCTATTGAAGGAAAACGAGCAAGTTACTTAAAGCTTCCATTAATTTTACACACCAGCAACACATACACCTGTAAATACAGCGAGGGCATGGATTGCTTCTAGCAAATGACAAGAAGTGACCTAACTAACCAAACATTTCTCTAGCCTGAACTGACTAATTTCATTTTTGGCGCAGCGGTCTCGACCAAGAAGCCTAAAATTCAGCACAAAGATGCACTTGTGAAACAACGCAAATAAGCCATCAATCTACTATGTTTACCACTGCACAAAATTTGGCAAGATAAGGACCAGAAAGAAGCAACCTAGCTTTTTTTCCGAATTACTTTTTTTTTTTTGTATACAAGGAGGGTTAGAGGGATTAAACCCACTTCAAATATATTGCAAAAATCAGTTTCACCTGCTTCGATACTGTGATTTAAGACATAGGTTTAGCTGGATACAGAAAGATACAGCAAGACAAAGGTTGACCGGTGCCCACAAAGAAGTCACCCATGAAAGGAACTGGAAATGATGAAGCTAGGAATAAGTCCGAATTTTGAGACCACCTTACTTACACTGTTATGTTCACCATTGCACGAAAGAGGAGCTCCACAATCTTTCGGAATGATGAAGATGTCAGAGGTTTGCCAGAGATGATCGTATCATGGAGAGCTCCAAGCTTGGGGAAAATGAAGGTGTTCCCATCGTCGTCTGAACACGAAGGCCTAAAAATAGTGCAATTATTTTATAAGAAAATGATTATTAAAAAAAAAAAAGAAAAAAAATGTTGCTATGTAGAAGCATATAAAAAAAAACAAAAAAACAGAAATACAATAAATATGTTATAGGCGTCTCACATGCTTTTTCTCAACCTCATTTTAAAGCGATAGCTGTTATGGGCTCTTCACCCCCCTTTGAAATGATGGTGTAGAGAAACCGTCGTCGATATTGATGAATGCTCTAAAACATTTGTTACACTTTGCCGCTGCCAGGGATCGAACTATGGGCCTACTGTGTGTGAGCCAAGTGCTTTACCACCTGAGCTATCAGCTCTGTTCCCTGAATAAACTGCATGTGGTGAGGACACATGCGTGTATCAGTCTTGTGAAGCGCCCGTGTTCCTCCCAGGCACTTAGCCAGGGTCTTGTTTCGGAAGAGGGAGGGAGGGAGGGAGGGAGGGAGGGAGAGGGAGGGGGAGGGGGGGGGGGGCAGAGGCCAAATGCTGTATGAGGGGGAGGAGGGAGAGGAGGCCCCAGCAAAATGGAAGATATTGGGGGGGGGGGGGGGGGGGAGGGGGCCGGGCCCCATGGGCCCCCCTGGATACGTGCCTGGTTCCTCCATTGCCCAGGGAACGCAGCAGAACACAATGGTCCATGTACGTGAGATGCGTCAAAGAAGTAGATGAAACAAAACGGCACCGCGCAGGTAAAGCTACTAGCCGACATGTGATCCAAGCAAACAATAAATAAAAAGACGCGAACCAAAATGGCTAGATGTCACCACCCTAAGCAAAGCGCACATGTACGGTAGGCACCCGGTGAGACGCTAGTGCAGCTGGTATGAGCGTTTCCATTGATGCCACTTTGTCCGCCGTTCTATAGTGACAGCGGAATAGAAGCATTTCGAGGCTGCCTTGTATCACAACATAGCCTCTATAGTCGCAACCATTAAAACACACTTACAGCTCAAAGGGCTCGATGCCTACCAATGGTACATCTGGAGAGGAGTCATCTGGAGAAGTTTCATCTGGCAAGCTCTCTCTTTGGGCGGTTTCACAGTTTTCAGTGCGCACCGTCTCCAATGAAGCCTCCTCCTAAAACGAAAGGAAATCCCTGCAGTGTAAAGTTACTGGATTTGTGTTAAGGACCCCAGCAGGCTGTTTTAATGATATAACGGTTTGTACTTTACATGCTATAAGTAAGGTTTGGTGTATTTATTACTAATAAATGCCGCTAGATGCTCGCCGTTTCAGGAATTCAGTATAAATCGTAATGTACAAAATTTTCATATGCACACATGAAAGAATAAAAAACGCAGTGGACAAGAACAAACCAAGATATCTTTCCAGAGGTCCTATTTCGGCCCTGTCCACCTTCCGTTTCTTATCCTTTCGTGTGTGGATATGAACCTTCACCAATACGCTCGTCTTCAATAATACAGAAATTCGGCACCGTATTCTTGGTTCGTGGCTCATAATCTGAGCCCGAATTTGAAGCTTAAGCTCTTCGGTAGATGCAAACATGCACAGCATGCAATTTCACATAGTGTCAAACAGAGATGCTGTTCAGTGCTAAGAATAATATGCGGAGTACAGTGCAACACCGTCCAGTAGAGCATGCAAGCCATATCACTTTGAAAAAGACATGGCCCTGACTGGCCCCCTCCTTCTAATGCAACACTCAAACTGCTCTGGTATCCAGTACTAACACGAAACAAAGTTTATCTAACGAGGACCTCGATACATACATTAGCAAGCGATATAAGCAGGAAAGCATGAGTGACGACCAGGCTGTGGCCAGTCACTTGCTGCGGCTATGTGGTCTGCGCAGCCCGGTCACCGCTTGCATATTCCAGCTCACACCACCAGCAACTGTACTTGCATATACAATACGAGCACATAGCCCCAAATCCTCAGTTTTGCTGGGACCTCCTCTCCCTGCCCGCTCCCCCTCCCCCATCTATGCCATTTTGACATGGGCGGTCCCCCCCCTCGACAAAACCCTATGTGCCCGATACAATACTCTATATATAGGGTGGTCCAAGTCACCAGGATCGATCTAAAATGGACCATAAAAACAGGCGCCTGCACGTAGCAATCTAAACCTTTCGTCAAAGATCTATTTCACGGGTCAATTTTTTTTTGTAAAATTACAAAAAATAGGACCAAGAAAATTGCCAGGGTTAACGGCAGGCAACGACCCAGACGACCAAGCCCAGTAGCAGGGCGTGTTTGGCGATCGTATTCATAGATGGCATCGGGAGCAGCGTCCGACGGTGCAGCCGACCAGCTAAAGCTAGCAGACGACACGTTGGCAGCAAAAGCGCTGTCGTTATGCAGACACATTTTTTTTTACTTTAAGTTCTGCTTTTATTGCCCGCATTTATTTTTTAACCGAAGGTACATTTGAAAAAGATTATCTTCATTTTATAAAACCTTGGTCGCAAGCCGTCGCAGTAAGGAGGTAGCCCATCAATCTATACGAACGCCAAACACACCTTGCTACTAGACCCCTGTCGTCTGCGTCACTGTCCGCCGTAGACCCTGGCAAGTTTCTTGGCCTTATTTTTTACAGAAAGAGAGCTACGCTTTCTAATTTTACAAAAGGAAAGCGACATGTGAAATACACCTCTGACAAAAAGTCTAGATTGCTACGTGCAGGTGTCGATTTCTATGATCCATTTTATATCGATCCTGGTGACTTGGACCACCCTATACTTTGGTCTACGTGCTTGAGTGCAGGCGAACAATCACACTGAACTTCTCATCAGTTCCCTTATCTCTCAAGGTGCTTCTTTACAAAACGCTCGTGCGCTCTAAGCTGGAATATGCCTCTTGAATTGGGAACCCTGGCATTAACGTGTTGATATTGGCTTTTGAAGCAATTCAGAACAGATCTGTTTGTTTCATCCTTGCTAATTATCACTGCACTGCCAGTGTAACATCAATGAAAATAAGTTTGAACCTACCTAACCTTGCATTACGTGGAAATCTTAACAGTGTGTCTGTTCCACAAAATTTATTACTATAATCCTCTGCTATGTGACAAGTTACTGACACCTCTTTACATATCATAATTTCTTGACCATCCACAGATGGGCATTCCTCAATGTAACACTACAACTTTTTATAATTTATTTATACCTCAGACGACGGTCTTATGGAATCACCTTCCAGCATCTGTGGCATCCATATCCGATTCCATCGCTTCTAAACGATGCCTTAACAGTGTTAACTTTTAGCATTTCATTATTATGTATTTTTTTCATTCTTAAGATTGTCGTTTGTTTGCTTTTGATTGTTGTTTGTTTGCTTTTGATGTCTCCTTGTAACACACTCCCCTCTGCAATGTCCTCAGGCCCTGAGTAGGGTGACCATATTCCTCAAGGTAGAAAACGAGACATCCCAGCGGTAAAGGGGGGGGGGGGGGGGGGGGGTACTAAAGTTTGAGAAAAAATGTAATTAAATTCTACATGCGTGCTATTCCTACATGATTCTACATCCGTGCTATATCCAGTAACTAAAAAAAAAATATTTCTACCGTCCTCGCGAAAGAAAAAGTGTTTGTGGGCAAGAACAGTCCTAAATTTTACTCTCTGGGTAAATATTGTAAAGTACCTACGGTTAGTTTTGTAAAATATACTTGCAACGAATAGGCATAGTTGCAGTTTGCTTCTACTCGCTTGGTGCCAATTTTGAAACTATGTACTTCTGCGAAAACGGGACATGATTCTATATTGGGATAAAAAGACGGGACGGCAGAAATGGACCTGAAAAACGGGACTGTCCCGGCCAAAACGGGACGTCTGGTCACCCTAGCCCTGAGGGTCTGAAGATGAAGATGCTCAGGAGCATCTTCAACTTCCTTCATCAGTAAACAGAAGTCCGCCATTAGTGTAGCACATATGGCGTTTTCAGATGATGATGATAGTGATCAAAGTGGCCAGACTGAATTCCGGAAAGGGTCTATTGTAGTTTTAAAGGTGGCCATTAATAAAAGCCAACCCAATTGACACGGTTCCCGAAAAAGCAACAGGCTTTGAGATATTCATCTGTTAATTTTTCCTTTTTTTGCTTAACCCTTTAAGCGCCAGCCAGTTTTCGAAAAAATGTACCCAAAATTCAAATTTTTTTTATAGCACACTTTGATAGAAGAATTCTTCCTTATTTCAAGCATGTAAGACATGGGTATAAAAGCTTAACAACTGAAAACCAAAATTGATCCAATCTTAGGCCATGTGCCCTTACAAAAAATTTTAATGAATTTCATTTGACAGTTTATGGAGTCTACTCATTACATCTTTTCGAGTCTCAATAGAAATGCAAACGAGTTTTGTAACGAGTCCGTAAGGAGTTTACGAAAACTATTGGCCACCGCGTTCCAATTGATGTTTCGACAAAGCTACCGCATAAAGTTTCCAATGTATTTCATATGAATATAATTTGAAAGTCTATTGACACCGTTTCGAGTCTGTGTTGAAAAACAATTGATTTTTTGTAACGAGTCCCTAAGGAGTTTACGAAAACTATTGGCCACCGCGTTTCAATTACGGTTTTGCCGTGCCACCTCATAAGAATTTCTAATAGATCTCATTTGAAAGTCTAGATACACTGCTTTGAGTCTCTGTTGAAAATCAAATGTTTTTTTCTACCACGTTGTACTTGAGGTTTTGACGTGCCATCTCGTTAGGTATATTCCGACGAGTCCGAATATACCAAATGAGATGGCCCATCAAAACCTGAATTGCAACGCAGTAGAAATTAACATTTGATTTTCAACAGAGACTCAAAGCAGTGTATCTAGACTTTCAAATGAAATGTATTAGAAATTATACTCCTAGCGTGGGTTTCTAGATAGACGGCTCTAAGGGGAAAGACGGCAATAGGTTGCATAACATGTGGTCCGGATCTAACGGTTGTTTTGAGGGAAGGGGAAAGTGAGTGCAAGTGTCACTTTTATGTATGCCTATATACGCATGCAGTGTTCGAAAAATGCCTGCATAAAACCGTGTGAAGGAGTAATAACTGGTTTATTAAAAATGCAAAATTCGAGTATACGGTACACTGCTTTCGTGTCCATGGGGGACCTTGTACTGCCATTGTGTCCATGGGAGACCTTGTACTGCCTTCATGTCCATGGGAGACCTTGTACTGGTAACCTATAAAGAAAAAAGATGCACAGTTACACGTTGATCTGCTTATCTAAACTTCAATGTCCGCGCAAGGCATCCTGTTCACAGCGCAGCACTACCTCAGCGCTGAATCAGTATTACAAACCGGGACATCAGTCCTTTAGGAAAGGAGGACCCTCAGAACACACGATACAAGCCATGGAAGTAGCAGTGACTCGTTGCCTTAACAGGACTGAGTTAGCGCTGCACTGTATGTGTGAACCAGCCCTAAATGCAGGTCACATTCACAATTCCTACATTTTTGCTCACCCAGGCACTTAATTTACACACTACCTTGATAGTTTAATGAGTGGCACTAATAACATTGTCAGGGGCACCATAATGCAAAAGTATATTTTGCCCCCGAGTCTGCGAGAATCAATCGCTCACTGTTTTTGCTGCTGCATTGCACTCTTTTATTTCGGCTTTTGAAAAGGTCTACCAAAGATAAGCGAGCAGATGTTATCGCTTATGAAGTTTACCAAATTTGAACATAGAGAAGCTAAGACTTATAGGCATCTCGCAGAATTAACATGGCAATTTGGGCCAACTGATCCATGATCGTAGACAAGCGCCGCAAAAAACACGTGGACAATAAGTGGTGGTAAACACTGGCGCCAGTGTTTTATGTCTACTTGTTGTCCCTGTGTATTTTTATTTAATTTTTTTGTTTGTTTACTATCTTGAACAAGTATTTTTAATCACACTGGACAGGAAGGAAACGGTAATAGGGTTCTATGCGGATCATAAAGCCATGCTCCGAATGGGTGAGTATCAACTGCAGGTTTCACAACAGTGGCGGATCCAGGGGGGGGGGGACCCCCCTCCCTCCCCCCCCTTCTCGGAGGCAATTGGACATGAGTGGACCCCCCTGAGTGGAACCCCTTGAACAAGAAAGAATGGGAGAATAGTATCGTTAAAAATTTTCCGCCACCCCAAAACAAACAAAGGTCTGGATCCGCCACACTAAGTTTCAATTATTGGGAGGATCGATACATCAGAGGCCGAGTTTAAAAAGCAAACTTACGATACCCGAGAAGAAATCCGTATTAACAAAACAAAATTTGTCGCACCTTTTGAGTGACTTACAACTAAATATTACGACATTATCCAAAATGTCTCACAAACTTTTTAGGGCAAACATGGCCGCACATCACTTGGCTATTTCGCCGCGACCAGCAATGAATATAGAAGCGTGGGCAAGAGGCATGTGTTTTGCGCACTGTTCAGATGCATCCCTACTTGAAGCAGTATAAGGGCAACGCTAAACTACACACGGAGGATTCAGCCGACGAGTCTGCCGAGCTGTCCATCCAGCCCGTTAGAGCTAACCAGGTGCAGGACTGCGATCAACGGCGAGATGCGCCAATGAATCAACGAAAGCAAATGTCACACAAATCTTCAGTGCACGCAAAAGGATCCTTCACCTATGAATGGCGTGAACCTGATTTGGTGATCATTAGCGCCCCCTTGTACTTCAGTAGTGATTTTCAAAGTGGTGAGCGGCTGTACGACCCTACCACACGAAAAGGCACATTCCTGACTGGATGTGCCTTTTTAATGCCAAAGCATTATATGTCCATGGAGCGAAAAATCCGAGTTGTACCAAACGTTAACGGAGGATTAAAGAAAAAATAAAATGTACTTTCACGGCTGAGATTTGAACCCGTTGCTGCTGTGTGAGAGCCGGGCATGCTAGCTGCTGTGCTATCTCAGCTGCTTCGGAATGCGACATTACTCTCCCCTCAAAAAGAAGCTTGTCCCATTACAGCAAAAGATGGCATGTCTTTACCCGTTTTTTGTCCCTGTTTATCTGAGGCTGTTTTTTCATCATGTTTGACGGCATCGGCGTTGATGTGCCCGAAAGATGGTCATAAAAATATGTCCTCGGTTCGATGACATCACACTTCACGTGACGACATGACGTACCATGATGTGTGACGCCGTATTATGTAACGTAATACAAATACTAGAGGGGCACTTAGTTATACATACGTGGATGGAATGCGAAAGCATTGCCATTCCTAACAATAGAGGAAAAAAAAAGGAAGTGTCGTTAGGAATGGCAATGCTTTCGCATTCAATCCACAAAGGGGTACCTAAGTGCCCCTGTAATATTTTGAGTGGAGTAGAGCTCAAATAAACGCCGTACGGTGCAGTATATCCATGATTAAGTTGCTGCTAGTCGTGAGGCTTAATGTTTTGCACCAACAATACCATAGTTTTTCCTCGGTTGCGACGAAGTGCCACTGCGCTACGAACTTGCTAGAAATTTCTGCATATGCGACCACTTTCTCCTGGAAACCTATGGTGACCTGCCACTCACTTTTGGCCAAAGAACAGTGAAAATACCAGATGTGAAAACAGCCATAACAAGCATTAAAGAAATCAAGATGGGGGTCATAGCATTAGCTTCCCAACGTGGCGAGACTAGCACAGGATTTCTGTTACTCGCCGTTTAAGACAGGAGTCGACTTTTTCCGGTCTGATCTTGAAAACAAAGTTTGGTTCCGTTAATTTTGTAGCAGAAAGCCCGTGCTTTCCCGTTTGTGGGGTCATTTTCTCGGTTCAAAATATGATGCAGAGTCCTTCCCATAAAAATGCATGGGTGCCTGCTAGGACTCTTCGAAATGGTTAAATTAACTGAGGTCATTATACTCTGTTGCCACTCTAGAATAGCAGAAGGCCTTCCCACAAAGCCCTTCACTCTTTTTAATAAGCAAACACTAGAGAGGAGGAGAGCCGAGAGGACACCACCAATCATGGCGAGCAAAGGGAATTGTGGGAGGGGCTTGTGCTATTCTATAGTTGCAACGGATTATAACAAAAGTTTACAGTACTATGAAAACAAAAAGACCAAGTATGCACAGAAATTCGCAGGAAGTGTAGCAGGGATAGAATAGAAAAAACTGCAGCTGCAATATTTACCCTTTAAATTTCCCTCGACAGCACAGCAGAGATGACATGCTGGTCGTCAGTGCCTGGAGGGCCACCCCTTGTACTGGGAGCACATGTAGTCTGAAACGAACAACAAACAAAAAATTAAATGCATGAACAATCCGCACATGCTGTTATTTCGCTTCATTGGCCGCTTCAGAGAAAGCAAGCATGCACACCGTTGTCCAACCATGTCAACTGCTAGCCGAAACTTTCTGCCACCAGGATTAAGATATTGCTTGCGCTATAAAAAAAAAACATTTACACACTACCCAGCTGGCGCGCTGAAAGTTCAAACATTGAAGAAACTACAACATAAAACTTCAATGCAAGAGCTACACCTCGTGGACAATACACAAAAGTATGTTCAGTGTAAACCTTGGTGCACTGCAAGGCTGATTTACCTCAGCCAGTTTGGAACATCTGCAGTTCCATTCTTTTCAAGATATTATGCCTGAAAATTTGTGACAAATGAACTGGGTTAAAATTTTTTAATCGACACCCGGCCCAAATATTTAGGAAGTATACTAGTGGGTTAATTTCTAACTTACCATAATTATTTTCGGCATCCTGAAGGCGTCACTTCAGGGTCTTTTCATAGTGGATTTACCTCGCCCACACAGGTGCAACCACACTGAAATGTTTGCAAAGTTTCAGGCAGGGTAATTAAACGTCTGCAGTTTCTCTCGAACACCGCTGTCACAAATTTTGTCTTTTTTGTCATTTTGGGCTGTTTATAGGTGGTTTGGGGGCAGGGTCAATTACAATCCTCGCACATGTTTACCTGAGCGTCAAAGGCTTGAGCTCGGATGAGACTATACTCCTTTTCATACTTAAGGTGCAACGCTGTCAAAGCTACTGGCGCGAGCGTGGGGCTTGGTCTTGTTGATCATTTGCACGCCTTCTCGCACAAACAAAACCGTAGATGAAGCCACGCACTCGCGCCAGTAGCTTTGACAGCGTTGCACGCTAAGTATGAAAAAGTATAATGCCGGCCGAGCTTCAAACCATTGGGAAGAGGAAGACAAGCGTTTCGGGTTGACCAACCACGAACCTGTGACAACCGCATAGGTCATTCAACAGACGTTTCATACCGCTTAAACACTGTGTCGAACTGCATCTTGAAGTCAGTCCCAATTCCAACGGTGTATGAACAGGGGCATTAATTTCGTGGCATGCCTTGAAATGAATCTAAGTGACGCAAGCTGGGAACACACTGCTGCTGCTTCATTTGGGAATAACTGCGGCCCTCGGCTTGATCACATCACAATTGCAAAATGAAAGAGAAAAAAAAGAGGAAAAAGGAACAACTGCTTTATCAAAAGTTCTAACCGACAAATATAAACCCAGTTCAATTCTAGAAAGCCAGGGGACCGAAGTTTGTCCTAACAGTACAATTTAGTCCACTTCCATAACTTCAAAACAAAAGATGGATATCCTCTTCAACCATTTTGACTGAAAAGGAATATTGTCTCTGCATGAACCGAATTCCAAGGAAGTCTGACTTCGGAAATATAATGAAGTATTGTCAATGTAATCAATTTATAGTTGAAAGACATCAGTACACTGCTAGACCAATAAGACATTTCCTAAAGCAACGGACCGAAAGTAGCATTAGGAATTCAATACGTGCTCTGTTGACATGAGCTACACTTTCTCGGACCATACACAGAATGAGTGGCAACTTTTCATTACGCTACACATAGATACAAACATTAGGACAGATAAAGCAAACCCAACTAGTTAAAAAAAGAAAAAAAAAAAACATTCTAGCTTAACGAGAAAATAGGGAGTTTTAGAATATCGGGCGCTACTTTACCGCGCGTTACGGACGGCAAAATAGCGAGGATTGCGGCGAAGAATTTTAGAATAGCGTTTCTCTGAAGGGGACCCCCCCAAACGCAAGCATCTCGCGCTTAAAACGCCACCAATATGTCGCGGCAGCTTTTATTTGAAAGTTAGAACGGTTTATCTTGAAAATTAAACAAGCTTT